TTCAAGCCACGCCCACAAAACAGTATCTTGGTACCTCTTAGAGGTTCTTTTCAAACTTTCCGACGAGCCGCCCCCCGCCCTTTTCATATGGGAGTCTCCCACTCCCGGGACCTTTTCATTTAGGAATACAAGTACACCTGACGTAAAGTTTCTTCACTTTGAAGAACTTAGTAGATGCAGATACTTATTACGACTTACTGCCCTTACTGCTCAGTTTGTTTTTGGGCAGTTTTGATAAATGAAAAGCCATAGGTCAGCTCAATAGCACGTATAGACGAAGGACAAATGTTCATTTTCATCCGGGTAAACGTTTTAATGTCATATTAAGGTTGAATACACTCCTCCATTACAAAGAAACATCGAAAACTGTCTACTGAAGTTAAGAGTAAAGCTTCTAATTTTTCTGTTTACTCGTTATCGCACGGCAGGGAAATGCGGCAGAGAGGCCTGAAACGCTGCTATGATTTATTTTTATATATTTGGATTTCTATATAGCAACAAGAGCAGGTTAAGTATTTATACGAGCCAAGCGGCCCATCAGGCCGGAACTTGTCCCAGTTTCTGTAGCGTCTAGGAATATTTCTATTACCCCCCGGATGGGGTGCTGGTGGTTAAATTCGCCGGTACTCATTTGTACACTTGGGTTGAGAGAGGCACTGTGAGAGTAAAGTGTCTTGTCCAAGACCACAGCACGAGCCCACTAAGCATATGCACGTAGCCACCGCGCCTCCACAGCAATAAGAGTACAATGTGCATGAATGTCAGGGCTCGTACCCAGTCCTCTCTAACCTGCGAACAGGCTCCCGGCGAGGACGGAAAAAAACTAAAACTTCGGCGAGCGAAGCGTGCGGACGAGCGCGAAGCGTCCGAAACTGAAGAATTCGGAGAGTGAAGCGATCGGGGCGGGACGCTTCGTTCGGGCTCCCCGGGAGCCTGTTCGCAGGCTATTCCTCTCAGTATGGACAATATTGTGATAGCCTAAATAGCCTTGAAGTCTTACCGCATCCATAACAGTCCTTTCTGCTATAAGGAATCGCGTAAATAGCCAAGTCAAATGGGCAAGACCCTGAGTTCTGTACAGCGGAATAGCAGTTGTCGTGAATTTCACAGCACCTGAATTAAAATCAAAACTGTAAGGGCCTCTGCTAGAAAACAATATAAATAACAAATTAAAATATATGTAAAAACAACTCTCTTGGTACATATAATTGTTGAATATAAATAAGCCGAATCGTAGTTTCAAAAAATAGTGCATTGGGTATGCGTTTTTATCCCTGATTTATTCTCTCTGTTATTTAAAAAGGAAACAAATTAAAAGAAGAGAATAAATTATGGATAAAAACGCACGCACACTTCATTAATTCTTGAAACTCCGATTTAGCTTATATCGTTCGCCTTGAAAGAGAGTGATCCGGCCTGAAATTTTAGTGGGCGCGTAAGGGCATGGGCATATTTTTGGTTGGTGGGACAAAGTAAACAGAGATGGCGAAACGGAATGCTGTTCAGCTTTGGCATCCGTGTCCCCCAGATGGTCCCGCATCAAAAGCTCGGCCAAATGCACGCAACAATTCAACAAAACATAATGCAACATTGTTGGATCGTGTCGAGAGATGTTGTGAAGGGACTGACCAAACATCGTGTTATATTAAACGGGATTGTCAATGTTTATGTGTCCCAGGTTTCTGTCTCCTCTCACCCAAGTTGCGTTCTTAAACATTATTTTTACCCCTAAATCGACCCTTTTGTTTCTAACACCTTAATCCCTTGCCTTCATTGATCAGTGCCCCACACTGTCAGGGACAAGCCTCTAACATGTCTGCAAAAAAGGGGCAATCGTTTCGTCCACTTTCTCTCGTTTTTTTTTTTTTCTTTTTATAACGTGCACAACAATTTGTGTTACAATATTGCGTGCTAAGTGCTCGCACCGCCACTTAGATTTTCAAAGTAAGCTACTGAAAAAATTATTTGCAAATAGTGCCAGCGCCTAGCTATGCTCAGTAAAAAAAAGCACTTGTCTTTAACAACATGTGACAAGTCATATACATTCCTTACATAAACTTGAAACGAGGGCCAAAAAGCATTCTTTGAATACTAATTACCAATTCCAGACAATTTATTTCAAATTTCATTTAACACCTTGTCGACTTTAAACCAAATATTCTTTTGCTTAATCTGAAGTATCCTCAGTCTTGTTGCGTTACTCTATTCGTTTGGGTCCTGTCCCCTCTCCCCACCCCCACCACAACTTCCCGTCATGTACAAAAAGGCCATAGGGGCAACCTTTGTTCCTTTACCTGTCTGTATCATCCAGGGGTGTTCCTTCTCCACCGAGTCCACAGAAACAGCCGTAGCCATTATAGTCTAATGGGCTTCTTTCAACCGCACACGAAATCATAAGACCAAACTCCAATACACTTCTTTTGTGAGATACTATAGGGGAATCTCTGGCTTCTGCAAGAAGTTCAAATTCTAAAATAAGATCCAGGCGATGTAGGAATCGGTAAACTGACTGAGGTGAAATAAGTGTTTGATGCCCCATTTATAATAAAATGCACAAATCAAGTTGAACAATAAAGTCAAAAAATATCTACATTGCTGAGAAGTAGGTGAGCGGACGATCACAATAAATAACTAGACTGAGCTCATTTTAAGTTCAAATTTCGCCTCTAGGTTTTGCTTCAGCTGCACATGTAGTAGCGGCTTCTTTTGAGGTGTTTTTTTTTTATAATCATTTTTTTGTGCTTTAAGGTTATTCCCCAGTATTGCATTGCGCATCCCTACTGCGCATAATTTCACGCGTGATTAGTGCGTGAAATTAAAAAATGGCGGCTTTTTCTTTACAGCTGGACCTCGCCATAGAGGTAAATCGTCATTTTCTTGCAAACGAGTATGGTGACCTATCATTTTTTTTT